TCTTACCGCCCCCCTTTAAGCCTGCAGCGCCCACAAGGGGGCGTTATCGCCCACTTTGGGAAAGACTGCCTTAGAGTATAATGAAAAGGGAAAATACGGCATGTGCTTACGTTGTTGAAAAAACAAGGCCTTGACATCATGGCGAATGTCAAATTGTCAGTGAGTGTTCCGTCAGAAATGCTGTCGTGGCACGTCATTTAAGCATGACATATTTGAGACGCTTTTACCGTATTTTCCCTTTTGTTTGAATCAAAGGTTTCAACCTTTTGCTGGTACTGGCTGATTTTTACCATCATTATTGAGATTTATTGTGTCGAAATACTTGTACATGTCATTTGCTATTGTTTCATCACAGACGTTTCAAACTTCATAGTTATTTTTTACTGTCAAATCACTTACCTTCGCATTTATTTTATTTATTTCAAACTTACATGCACATAGAACAGTGTACATAAGGCGCATTATTGTAATACATTTTGAAATAATACCAAATATTGATCAAACCTGAGTTTTATTGGCTCCGAATGTTAGCGAAGACAAATTCAAAACTAAAGAAAAGTCAATTTTTCAATACTAGTCAAGTCCAATCAGTATTCGCCTAGAGTTTTGGCATTTTTAATGACTGAAAATAATAACTTCCATCGTTCTTACAGGTCTCGAGGCTACTCAGCGCGAGGCCACCTACGCACGAAACGTCAAATCATGCCACTGATTGGTGAGTTTAAAATAATAATCTAGCGGGTTTTAGAATCCTTGTTGTGGCAACCTTTGGATGTCTTTACTTGCCTACCATACAATGCCGGTAGTCTTCAAGTTAGCCCGCGTGTATGTAATTTAGGAATTATATTCTTCAATGAACCACACCCACTACAACTACGGGTTTTCAATGACCGCCTTCAATAGTTTTATCTTACTTTGATAACATTATCGTGCTCCACCCTTTTGTCGAGCATTTATTTAGATGACATCTTGGTCACACAATGAATTTCAATGCCACAAAAATCCCATACTTCTGTTTGAATTTGTCATTTTTACGTCAGCTCCCAAGATATATTGTGAATTTAAATACGTTAAGAGTCTATTGGGGGGTCGGTCCGAGTCCTTGGATGGTCTTTTAGTTTTAATGGGTATACAGGGTGTTAGGTAAATGGGTATATGAGCCGACACTAGCCCATGTTAACATATTATGCATTTAAATGGTATGGTAAAGTCAGAAATTTGATATCGTGATTTTTTTTTTTAAATTTTCATACAAAATAAATTTTATTAAATCTGATTTGTATGAAAATTTAAATAATTAAAATGAAGATATCAATTTTCTGACTTCACCATACCATTTATATGACCATGTTAACATGGCCTAGTGTCGGCTCATATACCCATTTACCTAACACCCTGTATAAAAGCTAGTTGTTGTATACAGCGACGACAGTCTGGGCTACGAGTTCCCGTTCACGCTGCGACTGGTGAGCGGGCCGCTGGGCGCGTGGTGCGGCGCCTGCGCCTGGCCCGCGCTGTGCCGCGGCTGCGCGCTGCCCACGCACGCCGCGCCGCTCGTGCTGTGCTGCCGTGAGTACTGTGACGTCACCGCGGGCGCGTGGTGCGGCGCCTGCGCCTGGCCCGCGCTGTGCCGCGGCTGCGCGCTGCCCACGCACGCCGCGCCGCTCGTGCTTTGCTGCCGTGAGTACTGTGACGTCACCGCGGGCGCGTGGTGCGGCGCCTGCGCCTGGCCCGCGCTGTGCCGCGGCTGCGCGCTGCCCACGCACGCCGCGCCGCTCGTGCTGTGCTGCCGTGAGTACTGTGACGTCACCGCGGGCGCGTGGTGCGGCGCCTGCGCCTGGCCCGCGCTGTGCCGCGGCTGCGCGCTGCCCACGCACGCCGCGCCGCTCGTGCTGTGCTGCCGTGAGTACTGTGACGTCACCGCGGGCGCGTGGTGCGGCGCCCGACTTGTGTATTGTGCAACGGACGTCGCATGTATACAGATGGCGTCGTGTGTATACAGCTGACTTCGTGTGTATACAGCTTACGTCGTGTGTATACAGCTGACTTCGTGTGTATACAGCTGACGTCGTATATATACAACGTGTCCCAAAATTCAAGGATAAGCCGGCGCCGCAGAGTGGACATAGTCATGACTGCTTTAGGAAAAATAAGAAAAAAAATCTATCTCAATTATTTTTTAAGTTACAGAATAAATTATGAAATTCGTCGAAAATTGACACCCCTTATGATTATATAAAAATTGTAGTCGAGTATGGAGGTGGCCATAGGAACTCTTAACGAAACGGCGGAATTACATCTAGTTTGGGTTCGTTGGACTTGTCTTTTCGAGCACTTTAGTGCTAGATGATGTTCAGGGTCCTGATGATGAAGTCAAGAGGTGGCAGGAGCTGGCCATAGGAACTCCTAAACGAAACGACGGAAGCTTATCGAGTTTGGGTTCGTTGGATTTGTCTTTTCGATCACTTTAGTTCTAGATGATGTCCAGGGTCCTGATGATGAAGTCAATTATAATTTTCAAACGAAGTCAAGCTTGTTTTTAAAAAAGTTTTTTTTTATTACAACTTTATTTTAAACTTTTTAGTTGTTTCTCAATCNCGACGATGATTCTGACCAATTATATCATAAATCTAACCAGTTATACCATAAATCTAACCAATTCAAACTCGCCCAGAACATTTAACGTTTAGATTTCGTTAGTTACACAGTAGCTTAACTGCAGCCTGAATTATATTCTGATGTAGATCATTATTCTCACAACTTCATCATTTACTATACAGGGTGGAATTTTGTAATGCCACCTGGAGGGAAAGTACTCTTAATACTCTAGATAGAAAATTTTACTGAAAGAAAACATTTTTTTAATTTTGAAAAGAAAGAGAACTGCATTTATAGATTTTCAAACATTTTTGAAAAATTCACTACCATACCATACAATTTTCTGTAACATAATTAAAATAATTCAAGATTTCATGGTTTTCCTTTCATTTGATTTATCAAGTTTATTGGGGAAATTTCATCCTTAAAGTTATCCCTAACGATCGATGTAATAAAAAATACAGGGTGTAATTTTTAACAGATTTTAGTTGGTTCGATTCCCGGGTGTAGCAAGCAAATTTTTGGAAATCTTTGAATGCAGTTCTATTTATTTTTAAAAATAAAGGAATGTTTTCTTTGAGAAAAATTTTCTATCTACAATATTAAGAGTACTTTCCCTCCAGGTGGCAATACAAAATTCCACCCTGTATACGACTAAATTGACATGGTGTTTTTATAAGCTCATCAAAGTAAGAATTTATATTTGGAGGTCATGTACGAGTAGCATGGAGTACTTTAGATTAACGTTTTGATTCTTCTCAACCCTTATCCACTAGTTACACCTTTAGGTTAGTTAGTTTTTAACCAGTATTGCCCACATTACCTTACCTTCCCACTATCCACCCTATTCCCATTCTCCCCCAGCGTAACGACAACGAGTTTTGGCACTGGCGTCACGAAGACAACGATTCCTATAGCGCACACGACATGCGCCGCGATCGCAGGCAAACCGCGGTATTGCACGTACACGTAACATACGTATCTGTATCGTATACATACGTTGTATCTGAGTAGACTCAACCGTGGATTTATGTATACGTAGTTTGAGTGTAAATAAATGTTGTATTGAGACGAGTTAACCGCTCGTATTGAACGTATTATGTACGTAGTATTTAAGTAGATCCGGAAATTGTATTGAAATTGATAAGAAAGTGGTTATGTACAGTCGACAGTATCTTACGCAGTTGCGATAGGGGCGACTTTGCAACGAACATGTATAGTCTGATGTGCTGTCGACCAACACATAACATTAGTTATGTTGAGTAGTTTTTTTTTTAATTCTTTATTTGATTTGGGGCTTTTATCCACATGGATATGTCAGCCCCATTGTATCTTCTTTGAGTAGAGTTGATCGCGGTATTACATACATACTCGTATTTATTGATAGTATAGCCTGACCAGGAACATAAAAACCCTGGCATAGAGGCGCGTCAATTGCATTTAATAGTGCAACACTGAGTACAGTCGTACCTGTGTTAAATTAATAGGCTAACTTTATGTATCAGGATTCAGGATTACAGGCTAATTTGATATTTTAATAAAATAACGAAAAAATATTATTATAGGTAACCTGGTTTAAATAAATTAAATAAAACCATCAATCGAGCTAGTAGGATTTATTTTATTATTCATCAATAAACAAATTCAGAACTTGAATATTCAACTGCAATGTCTGCTCATGAACGCTTCAAACTCGGTACTTCTTTCCCAATTCCATAAAATTCAACACTTAGAAAGTGACAAAATTTTTTTAAATAGGTAGTTGAAACAAACCACAGCTAATTTTCATAGTGGACTGTACTATACGATAAACATGTCAGTCAATTTGACAACCTTTGTCGGAAACATTATTCAATGAAAATATTGTCCGAACCCTTAGTATTTCTCTTCGACAAATACTTTAACACATTGTGAACCACTTTTCTTTCACGACTATGAAAAGATTTTAGCAATTTAATTCACAAAATCAATTGCGCACATTTAAAATAAAGTTTGTTTACACTTTGACAGCAATAGACTGACATGCAAGGTGACATTCCAATGAAGTTTTCAGTTACTGTTGCCATTAAAAGAAATTAGTACCATTAGTTTTCCGCAACATGGCGAGGGTTTTTATGTTCCTGGTCGGGCTATAACTAAAGATTTCTTAAAGTATTTGAAGATGCTAGGTACTCACTGTCGTATCGAAACGAGTATCGTCAATGGTTTAAAGATAATGGAAAAAATGACGTGAGAAGGGCCACACTTAGCGATGTTTCTTGTCGCATCGCGGCTAATTGGCGATGTTGCATACGAAATGACATGCAGCGAAGTCTTGGGCAGTGCGTCGCTTAAATATGGCCCAGCCTTAGATGTCAGTGTCGTTAAAAGCATATTGCTCATAATGCTGTTATCCATTCCAGCACCCAATGCAGGCCGAGAGCGTAAGCCTGGAGGCCTTACGGCGGGCCGCCGGCGGGCCCTCCGACGCAGAACGTCGGGAGGCCGAGCGCCGCAGGGCCACCCTTAATAATGCCTTCCGTACTGCTCCCTTCCAGCATCTAAGGGAGATCACGCAGCCTAAGGTATGTCTGGGTATAGACTAGCTAAAGCCTGGTCTGTGAGCACGTAGAATTTTGTCCAATGACCCCAAGCTACCCATCCTTATCGCTCGCGCGTTGCTGTCGCGACTGTGCGACGGGCGCCCGCAGTGAGTGTGCGAGGGCGACAGCAACATAACGCGCGAGCGATAAGGATGGGTAGCTTGGGGTCATTAGACGAAATTCTACGTGCTCGCAGACCAGACTATAGATTAAGACCTAACAACACTTGGCATCAGTGGATCTAGCTCGATTGAGACGCCAGTAGGCCCTCCGACTTCGAACGGACCCTTCAAACCCTTCCAGCATCTGAGGGAGATCACTCAGCCTAAGGTATGTCTCGAATTGGGGGGTGTGTCATATCAGTGACATTAAATGTATGACGGATTGTACAGCGCCCCTAGCGGAAACTTTCAAGAACTAAAATCTTCATATATTTCTTTAACCCGCTCGCTAGGGACGACGTTTGATGTAAACTCACACTAAGCCCACTGGACTCTAGCAACGGGACTATTCCCACCTCTCGTTCCCACCGCTGCAACTCCTGTGCAGCCAGGATCTACAGCTTGACCGCTAATAACAACCAAACCAGTGAAGGAAGATCAAGTTTTGTCTCGGGGGAAAGTTAAACTGTCATTGGATTGGACCCACAACGAATTTGATTATACGAACATAAAAGGAGTTCGATAATAAGGTTCGACTTCCCTCCAGTTCAAAGCGCATGACAGGTGACTAATAAAGGCAAAAATAACCTTAGAAGACTAGCGAAATCCACACCTAGCAAAATTTAACATTCAGTGGAGGAGTTAATCATCGTTTCAACCAAGTGGTATCCACTGCTGGAAAATGGCTCCAAAGATTTCTACATCGCCCGGTTCTGCGCTGCCTCATTAATTTTTACAAGACATGCTTCTACATTCGGTCGAAAGCATCTGTACGCAGGACCAATCGTTGTGGAAATCCATAGAGGAGGCCTTTGTTCAGCATTGGACGACATTGGGTTGAAATAAAAAGTCCGTGCGATGAATGATCCCGTTATAAGTCCAAAATGTCCTTAGAAGCCTTTTTTTATATAATGAAAATTGCCCCATAAAGACTAAAGTTATTACAAAACATTAAATGCCCGTTGAACACTATAGACCCGGGACCGTCCTACCCGTGACATTGACAGTGGGGCGCCACCGTCAATACCGGATCGCTGGTTCCGATTTTTGCCATGTTGGAAACCATATAGTTGAACGATGGTAGCGCCCCCCCCGTCATTGAGTTTGGTGGGACAATTTAGCGTGGGTCATCTATAGTCAAAGTTGTCATTTAGGAGGGTGATTGCTATAGTAAATAGCCTATACATAGTTATTGGCATATTGGATTGTTAATAAGTAAGAGACAAAAATATTTACTACATTGGACTGCGTATTGCTCAGAAAAAATATTTTTCTCTTTTCCTCTCTTAATAACTTCCATTAGGCTTGTTTCTTTTCATTTTAGGCAAGTTGGCCAATAACTATGTATTGGCTAATTACTATAGCGATCACCCTATGTAAAGGAGAACAACCACTTTCTATGAAGCGTTGGGCCCAGTACTAAGTTATTTGTACAGCTACAAATTTTATGTCGTTTTTATGCCTTCATAAACTAGTTTATTATTGTGTTTATTTGAGCTTGCTAACTAGTGTCATTCTCGAGAAAACTAAATTAGAAAAAACTAGAAAAAATGTTACTTTTATACAAAATCAAGTCGTCAGTTACCCAAATCGCAAACAGAATCCGTTAGAAATAGAATAAAATGTTATTAATCGATAGTTTTATTTCTTCTTCTTCTTTTAATTCGTTTTAATTCAATTCAACAAGCATTCGCAACAATCTCATCCTTTAGATCCTTTAGACATACTCTCTAATCTGTGGTCTCATCTGTGATTCGCAAGTGACATTGCTTTTTTTTTCGTTTCCAAAAATACAGTTAAAAAGCACGGTAAATGAAGTAATAAATCCCGTGGTTTAATTATTTTAATATATAATTTTATGACTCCATAATCGGCTTTGAAGTACTGCATGCCAACCGGTTGTCGAAAACTTCGAAGACCCATAACTCTTAAACTAGTCATTATATTACAAAAATATTTGGTACACGTATCAATAATATGTATAGGTAGAACATACTCAAATATTACTGAAATCGGAAACATCGACTTTTTTTACCTGCCCGCTTCGCGTGGAATGCCCCCAATGTTCAATCTTTTTTCTAATAAGGTGACAATCGTCTTTTCAGTACGAGATCAAAGACAAGCTAGAGGAGATCTTTAACTCTATATCGGAGGAGCCTTTACTACCAGCCTCGGGCTCGTGCTCGCCCGGCGGACAGACCAAGTCCTACCAGCAACACGTGCCGGCTTACACCAAGTATTTTCCGGAGCTGTTCTTGTACTAGGTACGTGATTTGGAACAGTATTTAATTTTGTATTTCATTTCACACTTTTGGGGAAAGTTATAAATTAGGCCGTCACGTGCTGCCGAAAAGCTTTGGCAACACGTGCCGGCCACCAAGTATTTCCCGGAACTGTTCCTGTATTAAAGAACTTCCTCAAGATATTAAAGAACTGTCCTTTAATCAGTTTAAGACCACATTGCAAAAGTGGCTTGTCGCGTTATTCTACTCTCTCCAAGAATTTTTAAGCTATAGTAGGGAATAATCAGCAAAAAGTAATACCGTAATAATTATATGTAATATCAATATTTCTTCGATATATTTGCATGCTATTGTTGATGGATAGGTGATCGATCATATTTTGTTATTTTCGACCTTCTGTACACCCTATTCAAAGACAAATAAATATTTCTTTCTTTCTTTCTTATTAGGCACGTGATTTGGAACAGTATTTAATTTTGTATTGCATTTCACACTTTTGAGGAATGTTTAAATTAGGCCGTCACGTGCTGCAAAAACCAAGTCCTACCAGCAACACGTGCCGGCTTATACCAAGTATTTCCCGGAGCTGTTCTTGTACTAGGTACGTGATTTGGAACAGTACTTGTATTTTCTTTCATGCAAAAAACTTCAGCAACACGTGCCGGATTACACTAAGTATTTTTCTGGGACTGTTCTTATACTAGGTGCGTGATTTGGAACAGTATTTGTTCACACTTTTGGGGAAAGTTTAAATTAGGCCGTCACGTGCTGCAATACGTGAAAGACCAAGTCCTACCAGCAACACGTGCCGGCTTATACCAAGTACTTCCCGGAACTGTTCTTGTACTAGGTACGTGATATAACATTTGTATTTTATTCCATTTTACACTTTTAGAGCGCTTTCACATTTAGACGACTTGAGCAGCGCGACAGATGCGCTGCCGACAATTTCATACTATGTGACAGCGGATGCATGCTTTCACATTATAAAAACGCCGCTGCCGCGCTGCTGTCGCGCTTCTAACGCCCTAATGTGAAAGCGCTCTTACGGAAACATTAACAACACGTGCCGGCCTACTCCAAGTATTTCCCGGAACTGTTCTTATACTAGGTGCATTTTGCACTGCTCCTCTAGTCCCAAACTAAGAAAAGCTTGTACTATGTAGTACCCATAGCACAAGTTTTGCTTAAGGCTGATTTACACGTATTAAGTATTTAAGTAGGTAACTAAATTTTAACTTAATTTTAAGTGATTAAATTGCATCGTAACTAAATTTTAAGTCTATGTCCAAACGTCAAGCTGCTACTGTGTGTAGCTTCTTGTAGCAATCAGCCCTATGGAAATTTATTGGCATTGACACTGACGCATGGCAACGAATCGGTGCTCGACTCTTGAGACAAGCTAAATTACACCATATTGTTGACGACGTTGAGCATATATTTTTTTAAATTCCTTCATGAAGAAAACCTTCTGTACGTAGTACTTATTATTATTCTGCGGCAGCCTTAGTATGCGTTACTATTGTTAAATACATATAAAATACTCGTATCTATTTGTTTCAGACGTTGAAGTATGAAGGAGGATCACGAGCGTACTCGAGTAATAATGCTTCCACAGCTTACTGCCATTAAGCATTAGGCATAACGCTTAGCCCATTGCCAGGTAATGCACATGACAGTTATTTACTACATGTACCTAGTAGTGGACACCCGTCAATTGATTGACATACTTTTTATGAGCTGTCAAAAACGACAATTCCATAAATTTTGTTTAGGGGCCAAAACGTCATCAGATTGCGAACAATTCGCAGTCCATTTAACATTTTAACGCGGCCACTTCAAGGCATGAGTGAAGGGACTCGCATACTTATCTATTGATGAGTGTGTTATATTCAGTGAGTGAATGTTAATGCCATAATGGATGAGTAGTTGAGTTGAGTTCTAATTCGAAAGTTCGGGGTTCAATTAGACAACAAGACATGCAAATAAAAAGAACTTTTGACTAAAGCCCGCTCGCACACTCACTGCGGGCGCCCGTCGCATAGTCGCGACAGCAATATAATTACGCGCGAGCGATAAGGATGGGTAGCTTGGGGTCATTGGACAAAATTCTACGTGCTCGCAGACCAGACTATAGTTGTTAAAACCCACACCGTCGAAGTCAGACAAATAGCACCTTTATGATGGTTCAATGGACTAAGCGTTTTATGTTGATTTTCGATTGTTTTGTTTTGACTAATTTATAACTAAAATAATATAATTATGTTAAACAATCTTTATGATTGAAGTTACTTTGTTAATATTTATTGAAATAATCACAGTTGAACGTGCCTCTAGAGAATTTAATATTCTTTATAGTGTATGTGTCGCAGTCGGATTGTATAATCCGCCGTTTTACATTACCACTAGGCATTTTACATTACAGCTCTGTTTTGTAATACGGCGGTTCAACGTTTAGGCGGATTGTCAGTGCGATACGTTCTTCAATACGGCGGCACACGTTTAGCCGCATCGTACTACTATTTAGATTGTAGGGTGACCATACTTACAAAATAAAACAATGTTTAATGTAAATAAATTTTAATACGAAAGATTTCTTCTCACGATATTCCTTAGTGATTAAGTAAGAATTATTATCTTCGTTACTGTAAGTAATACTAAATTATATTTGGCTTCAGTCATTTTTTTGTATGTTTATAAATCACAAGGACAGCCATCTCAAAACAAATAAACTTTTTTTGAAAGTTAATAATATAATAAAAGATTTGGATTTAGTCATTTTTAAACATAATGAGTAATCACAAGGTACAAACATCTTAAAATAAAAGATATCTCAAAATCTTCACCGGCCACTGTCATAATATCATACTTTTTGCACCAATAATATTGAGTAGGATTCCGCCGAACACCAGAATCCATAGCCACTTTAGCGGTTTTGATGTGGGCTATAACCTCCAAAACTCGGTCCCTTGTCCACGGTTTTTTGACTGTTCCACATTGTGAAGAATATAAATTCTTCAATTGCAAGTTAAAATTGTTCTTAAACTCACTGTCGACACACATAATTATTTATAACCTTTTCTTTATTAGATTCAGAAATAATTCCGTAATTTAGCAACACATTTTCTGCCATTGTTGTTGTTATGTCAGGCAGCGCCACGGTATTGAAAATGGGAACTAAAAACTGTCAAAGCGGCGGGTAAAGTAATGACACGCTGTTTTACATTGCGGCTAGCCGTATTGAAGAACGTTTGGCGCCGAGTACATTCCGGCGGATTTTCATTCAGCCGTATTCAATCCGCCTAAACGTTGAACCGCCGTATTACAAAACAGAGCTTTAATGTAAAATGCCTAGTGGTAATGTAAAACGGCGGATTATACAATCCGACTGCGACATATGCATACGTCTATTGTTTTGCACGTAACGACTAACGAAGCGATTACGATCTTGAAGTCTACACTTGTTCAGGCGCTTTTTAATTCTCTTATCGAAACTAATACACAAAACAGTGTAAAACTATTACATTCCTGTCGCTTTAGACATTACTTTTATTTTTATTTAAATTTAATTTAATGAAAAGTTTTGATTTATTTGGTTAAAAGACTTTCAAATTCCAAAAAAAAAAATTGAAACAATGCTTTTTTGTCAATCATAAACTAAAAAACCTAAAAAAACGACTAGAATCTCATATTATTGTATTTTAATATACTATAATATTTCTTGACAATACCTTCGTAAATTCACGAATATAAATAAATAAATATTAATTACATCATACATTATTCGTGTATTTATAATGTTTAACAGATTACAATATAACCTCACATAATCTGTTTAGATTTAATTGCGTAATATCTACCTATAAATATATTACATTTAATCAATACACCTTTCCAAATAATACATATTATAGCAATTTTATTAACTGCATCAATCATGCACAATTTATAAGTAGTTTCAACTCACAGTGTATAATAACGTGTATACAATTTCTGATAATATACAAGGTGAGTCAATATACAGGTTGATTTGAAACGATGTTGTCCAGAATCGCCCTGTATACTCATAGTCACTTTGTATACAGCCAAAACAATAGTAAACCGCTGACTGCCCTTGGAATCAAATATAGACCCTCTGTGTTCAGTGTTTTATAACTTATTGCCTTGCATTAGAGTTCAATATCCTTTAAACTGACATCAACATGACATAATATTTCCCCAATTGATTCTCAACTTTGTACCTTTGGTATACGATTCAAAATCAATTGAAGATATTTGTCTTTTGTAGTTAGATGACTGTAGTACTGTACCATTATAAAATTATACAAAATGTTATTATAACCACAGTTGCTAAATCGTAGTTTAGAAATAGCCGTCAATATGTAGAGGAATCACCCGTAGTTAAGCATTTAACAGTTATTTTATATAACTTGAAACATTTATGTTATGTATTTTAGTTATTATTTACATTCCTGTAATCCGATCGATTTTCGATTGTTTTTTATTGAATTATAAAATATCATGTATTTATTATACCTATATCTGTTTGCTCTTAAAATACTATAATAATAACTTTCAATGCATTCAATTTTAACATCTTAATAACGAGTACAAACCTGTATTTACTATCTATAATATGCGAAATACTTTTATGTATACAGCTTGACTATTAGACACTAAACCCAACTGTCTTACGCCCGTATTCACAAACGATGCTTGCTTAAGTGAAGCAGCAAATTGAACGCACAGCGTTGAATATAGCACTGCGATTGGTTCGTGTGTCACCCTGTGCGGCCACGCGCACTGTGAGACCTCATAGTAATGTTTGTGAACACGGGCGTTAGACAGCATAGGGACCGTTCCTCGGATCTTAAATCGACAGTCCTACTCCGAATCAGTTGGGCTATTTTCGCCTCATTATTAATTAAATTATACCATTTAATTAGATTAATCAATTAATAGTACTGTTGTGTTTAATTTCCGCACTGTCTGTATACATAGAAGTATTTGTGTTGTGTATTACAAATTATCGATTTCAACTAAAAAAATAATGATATTATCGGTTTAAAAATTATAGCAGCGATATTAATAATGCATATTTTTCTAGTAAAGTAAGAACACCAAATCTATTTCGATATATTAACTCAAATATTTTAATGTTATTCAAATTGGCAATATTATGTATTAAAAGAGCTGTGAAAAAAAGTAATATATTTAATCCTCTTTGGAATTGATAAAAACTATTTAATAATCTTGTCAAAGGTTTGATTGGTTTATTTTTACAATAATTCGATGTAGTATTGTAGTTTAATTATAGCTTAAAGGAAATGTAACGAAGGACGTGGTTGGTGTGAAGTATCATAGTATATGTTGGGTCAATTCTGAAATGTGCAATAGCCTACTATATTTGTTAGGTAGCGTTATCTGTCAGATAACTATCTGTAACTTTAGCAGGAACTAGTGGACGATGAAATAAAAGTTAAGGGTTTGTCGCAGAATATCGCACTTTTCACAAAAGTTTGTTTCTATACAATTAGTATGGAAAAGTGTGCATTTTGCGAAGTGCACATTCTGCGTCAGTCCCGTTCACTCATTGGATGCTGCGTGACTCTGATATAGATTTTATATTAACTAGTTTCATGGCAGTCAGGCTTAAAAACTGATGATCAAATTATGACATCAAACTGATGATGGTCTACCTGATTTAGCCTAGAGCTATACTTTAAAGTTAATGATAGTGTGTTATATTGCCATTTCATAAATTGATTGATAGAGTCTACGTCTATTAGTTTCGACGTAATTGTTGAACAAAGATACCACTTCCCAGCGATTTCCATAGCGCACGCGACATGCGAAAATGCACTGCCTGAAAGAATCACACAACCTATTCCGATTACTATATTTACTAGCCTACTATATTTGTTAGGTAGCGTTATCTGTCAGATAACTATCTGTAACTTTAGCAGGAACTAGTGGACGATGAAATAAAAGTTAAGGGTTTGTCGCAGAATATCGCACTTTTCACAAAAGTTTGTTTCTATACAATTAGTATGGAAAAGTGTGCATTTTGCGAAGTGCACATTCTGCGTCAGTCCCGTTCACTCATTGGATGCTGCGTGACTCTGATATAGATTTTATATTAACTAGTTTCATGGCAGTCAGGCTTAAAAACTGATGATCAAATTATGACATCAAACTGATGATGGTCTACCTGATTTAGCCTAGAGCTATACTTTAAAGTTAATGATAGTGTGTTATATTGCCATTTCATAAATTGATTGATAGAGTCTACGTCTATTAGTTTCGACGTAATTGTTGAACAAAGATACCACTTCCCAGCGATTTCCATAGCGCACGCGACATGCGAAAATGCACTGCCTGAAAGAATCACACAACCTATTCCGATTACTATATTTACTAGCCTACTATATTTGTTAGGTAGCGTTATCTGTCAGATAACTATCTGTAACTTTAGCAGGAACTAGTGGACGATGAAATAAAAGTTAAGGGTTTGTCGCAGAATATCGCACTTTTCACAAAAGTTTGTTTCTATACAATTAGTATGGAAAAGTGTGCATTTTGCGAAGTGCACATTCTGCGTCAGTCCCGTTCACTCATTGGATGCTGCGTGACTCTGATATAGATTTTATATTAACTAGTTTCATGGCAGTCAGGCTTAAAAACTGATGATCAAATTATGACATCAAACTGATGATGGTCTACCTGATTTAGCCTAGAGCTATACTTTAAAGTTAATGATAGTGTGTTATATTGCCATTTCATAAATTGATTGATAGAGTCTACGTCTATTAGTTTCGACGTAATTGTTGAACAAAGATACCACTTCCCAGCGATTTCCATAGCGCACGCGACATGCGAAAATGCACTGCCTGAAAGAATCACACAACCTATTCCGATTACTATATTTACTAGCCTACTATATTTGTTAGGTAGCGTTATCTGTCAGATAACTATCTGTAACTTTAGCAGGAACTAGTGGACGATGAAATAAAAGTTAAGGGTTTGTCGCAGAATATCGCACTTTTCACAAAAGTTTGTTTCTATACAATTAGTATGGAAAAGTGTGCATTTTGCGAAGTGCACATTCTGCGTCAGTCCCGTTCACTCATTGGATGCTGCGTGACTCTGATATAGATTTTATATTAACTAGTTTCATGGCAGTCAGGCTTAAAAACTGATGATCAAATTATGACATCAAACTGATGATGGTCTACCTGATTTAGCCTAGAGCTATACTTTAAAGTTAATGATAGTGTGTTATATTGCCATTTCATAAATTGATTGATAGAGTCTACGTCTATTAGTTTCGACGTAATTGTTGAACAAAGATACCACTT